TAGTTTACCTACGACCGTTTTTTTAAGTAGCCATTTCAGTTCAGTTCTTAGAATTGAAAAGTTTCACTTAACAGCTGTTTACTTTCATATCAGCATAGTTTCATTTCATATCAGCATAGTTTTTTCACATATCAACACGGGTAACGGACCAATGAGGTTCAAGGATTGAGAGAAAAGAAGTACAATTGTAATACTTCGAACGTGTGTAACTTGACAATTATTTTAATTGTTGATCCGGCTTGTTCCTGTTGATACTCGCGTATTCTTATCCTAAGTTGGTGGAAGTTAAATGAAGGTTGATTTTAAAATATCAGTTAGTGAAAGTGATGTTGACGAGATAGAAATGAGAGCACAAACTGTTTGTGCTAATCTTTTGCCACCAAAATCAAAACAAAGGTACCATATGCAATTACATACCAATACCAGCAATTCATTAAATGGACGAAACAAAATAAGGTTAAATTGATACATGAAAATGTTCTTCTGGTTTATTTTGAAAACCTCTTAACCACTTTTTCACCCAACTCGTTGTGGACCACATATTCGATGCTGAGATCTAACTGTAAATTAACTGTTTCACTATATTATTCAGTTGTCCAATAATATATGCAATATTTCCCTAATTGTACCTGATACAGTATTTATGGTAAGAATGCTGCTAGCAGAACCTATTGCCTGAAAAAGTAACGTATTATTTAACATAGTTTTACAAACACGTAATTACATTAAATCAGCTGATTAGGCCTATACAATAAGTCGTTGCATCACTTTCAGTGACAATGACAATAAACGAAAACATAACCTCTCTAGGAAGTTGTGAGTAGTGATTGTTAGTAATAAAAAACCAGATTTTTAGTAATTAAAAAACGGTCGTCGGTAAAGTAGTGTACGCAACTCGCGTTAATAGTCTTTACGACACTCGTAGAAGTTTTTAAGGCACGAGCCTTGGCGAGTGCCTTAAATTTTCTACTCGTGTCGTAAAGACTAACTTAACGCAATCGTTGCGTAAACTACTATTTCCTACAGTCACCTGACAAAGTGGGCTTCCTTTCACTGATTATAGCACAGAAATTTGCTAATTGCTGCATTTACTTAATTTACCACACCCTTTTTACTTTTGTCGCGCTCTTTTTGCTTTTTCCGCACACCAGTATTCCAACCAAACAACACAATACAGTTACAATTTATGAGGCACGTAATACGTGTACTCTTGAAAATAAGTTGGCAACACTTTAGATACTACGACTTCGATCAGCTGGTGCAGTTGTTTCCCATTTCGTTCATGGATTTAACCTAACCTAAAAACGTGTTGTACAGTGTTTGAAAGACTGAGTATTTCTATGCTTTATAGTAACGGTAGGAAAAATATAATGTGTAACACAAGCGCAAATTGCCTTTGCTGCACTCCCACACTAGTTACACAAATAACTATTTCTGAAGTTTATTATTTTTTTTTTTTTACCTGGTGGCTTCCTCCAGTCCCAGTCAGTGATGACGCAGTAGCGGCGATCCTGGAAGTACCATCCGAAGGTGCTCCGGTTCCCTTCCTGGCTGACACACCCAAAACTCTTCACAAAAACTTCCTCGTTTCTGGATTGACGTAGCGTTCGTTGCGTTCATCACACTGGCGATAAAAACATAAGTTTTCCCTTTTTGCATTTGGTTAGCAAAGATGTTACTACACCCATAAAATCCTTACCATCCAAAATTAACTACCTACATCCAAATAAGTTTTTATTACCTACGTTTAGAACATTTTCCGCTTTATCCGTGCTTCGCAACGGGAGAAGGACGCGGATGAGAAAATGTGGTTTTTTAGATCTGCTCTATAAAATAATTATCCTACACACCCATAGCTCATTTTAGATACTAAACTTAACTTTTCAATTTGTTTAAAACAAAGACAATTATTTTCCTTAATTCGTGTAACGGATTTAAATCTCCTAGGCAGCCTACGGCATATTACTGGCGTCGATGGATGTTTTAAAATAATGCGTCTACATGATTTAATTATAAGAGATTCGCAAGTCGCAAGTGTGCTTACTTTTCAAACCCTACTTGACAATGCATCCAAAAGAACCTAACAATATCCAATAGTGTACGGAAACAATTACATCAATCACGTATATTGATATCACATAAGATAAAGACGTTTACCATAATTATTCGGTGACAGCCAAGCCTCTCTACAATGACTGGTAGCTGAAATATCACGATTTTAAAAGGCATAATGAGGTGCACTCTGACTATCGTATCATTCCTTATTTTGCCTTATTTTAAAACGAAAATCGTGTTATTTCAGCTATTGTTTTCGATCTTTGGGCTTGGTGTATGTTAGTACATTTTAAATCCTGAAGAAAAGTGTTCCTGACATTTTTTCGTAAAATCAGCCATTTTTGTAATTTAAGTAATAAAAGTCAAAATAACCACAATTCAAAATTTTCAGATCAGAGCAAGTATTTTTTTTAACATTGGCCTCTTCTATCATACTGCATACCACGTTTCATAAATAGTATATAATTAAAGATAAAAATGTTTATGTAAGAAATACGGAAAGGATGATGGTTAACAAAGCGCTTAGGAAAAATCCCATTCGTAATTTTCTCTTTGTTTTGGTCCATGAAAACATTTCCCAGGGATTGGCTGTTGACTTACTGGACACCCTGTTTAGTGAAAGCGATAAAACCACCATCTTCCACCAAACCCAATTATACAGTTACTGTTCAGTTACTGTCATCATTCACTATTTGGGAGTTAAAAATTCAAGTTCACAATAAAACCTCTATTCTTCTGGTTATATCCGCCTATAGGATCAGAGTTAGAAGTGTGGACAGTCTAGGTGTAGCCTTGAACCTGAGGTCCTTGTGGTGGACTCACATGTTCACGTGCCGCACTGTCTAATGTCAACGGTCACACTTCCACCGTCGTTACCATTGTACTTGCAAACTTCAACAATCTACCAGATGCTCAATTGAATTTAGGCTTTTTAAATTAGATGGGATGTCTTCTCTGATAGTCAAAATATTATAGTATATTTCATAACAAGAATAGAAAGTGAGTAATTAATTACATATTTGAGACCATGTTTGAAGTGCGAGATTTATCGAGCACTTTAAATGGTTGAAAATATGACACAGACCCAAACTCATAGCATTTTTAGGTTATGCCTTTAATTCAATTTAAAATTAATATTTACTTTGGTTGTACAGTTTTGGTTGAGGAAAAGTGAAACAGTTGGCAAAACAATAACAAATCTTTGTTTGTTTACGTCGACAAAATCCAAAAAAATATAGTAAATATTATTTTCATCACTCTGTATTCAAAATTAGCCCATTTCAATACAGTTGAGTGAGATCTTAGAAAATCTTAAATTTCCATACACCACAAACAAATAGTGATCAGCTGACTTTTCCTGACATAAACATTACTTTCTCTACATAAACATTACTTTCTGACATCAACAAAGTTACAACTGAAGTTCCCGGTTAGCTTTGGCAGTTTGTTAATGTTCAATCAGTTGATCTTGTTTAATCAATAATTTTACAGCCGTATTGAGTTTAGATTAGAAAAATGAATGGATTACGAAATATCAGATAATTTTTTATGAAGTAGTTTTTTCATCGTGATAAAAAGTATCGTTCAATATTCTTCACGAAAGTACCATTTCGGGGCGAGATAGTGTTTTATACGCGGTTCGACGTAGTGAATCATCATACACATATATTTTATATCTATTCTCCGCAGTAAACAATGTAATGATGAATTTTCGCAGGTGATAACCATGTAACAAAAACAGGCCATTTCACAGTAGTGTGCCGAAAATTATCTTTTCGCTACACTACTGTGAAATGACCTAATTTTCAATAAATAAATGGTTAAAACGAAAAGGTACTATTTGTTAGTTTCTACAAATGATTTGTACACGCTGGAAGACTTCAGAGGTTGGAAGACTGATTAAAAATGTAATGAATGATTTCAGTAATACAATCTAACAATGTTAATTCTACAGCTTTCGCCAAGGGATGGGGTACAAACATGTTTTCTTCGCGAGAATGATTACTTAATCATTAGCATAACGCAATAACCATTTGTATGCAGTGATGTAAATAATAATTCAATTGACAACAAAGAATACACAAAAGTCTGCACTAATGTTTACAGCTCATCAGTTACCAAGCGAAACATATGATAAACATATGATGATAAAGGTTTTATGATAAATTAATCACTCTACAATAATATGATTATTTCTTTCTTGTTTGCTTGCGTTGGTTGGTAACCAATTTTTGAGCTAGTTAGTTTCTGTGGTATATATTTCAGCTTTGTGTACATTTTTACAGCATATCGACTGTAATCCACGATTCTCCTTTGAAAATCAAAATGTGTACAAATATAGCAAAATTAAACAACGTAGGTTGAACAAAAAAGTTCAGCTATGAAACTTGTGCCCAAATCGGACCTCTTGTTTTCCGTTCACAACAGTAATAACTTTTTTTTAGTCTAATACTTGGATGGATAAGATAAAATTATGTAAACCAAGATGGTCACATGTTCGTATTATTTATCTATGATAATATTTATTCAATTTTTGTAGGTGCACAGGTTGCACCCAAACGTTACCCGACACAAAACGTGCATTAAACCTTTCATATTCTGCTATAACATGTTCATCAACGATGATACTACTAATTCATAGTTATTGAAACAAATTTTTAATTACTTTCCTTGAAAAAAACCAAATTCTTGACAAAACTATTACTCAATTTTAACAAGGGTGTATTTTTAATTTATTTCGGATTTTGAAACGTTACTTTTACAATTTCTAAATTATTGCAGTAAATGCTGATAAACAGTACAAAATCTACCAAAGCCCCTGGAGAGATCCTGGGGTGTCCAAAGGGCATGCTCTACCGGAAGTTGCCCTAGGGGCAGCGTTAGGCAGGAGGTAGACTCCAGGACCTTGGAATCAAGGCGAGGGTCTCCTGGTATATAAGACAATCTAGACGTCATCACACTCACACTCTCCACGTCGTCGTCATGTACAGGATAGTAAGTACTTTACTGATTACTAGATATTACTTAAAAATATTCACCTAATTTTGTATTAACTTACTTCCACATCCAAACTAATTTGCTAATCGATACATTTTTGCGTGTTTATAACTTTCGGTTTTACAAAATTCTAAACTTTTATTTATTATCAATGCATGATGGAATCAATACATCATTTTCCAATCAAAATACTGACTTGACTTCAAACCCATTAGAAGTAGATTGGATTAGGGAATTAGACTTGGCTTCGTAATGACATCCCCGTTGTTTCTGCAAGTAGTTTATTTTTATTAGATTTCGATTTACCAACGTAGACCAATTGGCCATAGATATTTTGATTGGTAACTGTTACCGTTAGCTTAACATGATAACAAGGGGTTTTCTATTACAATCTATTGTTAGTTTATTATGCATCATTTTGTGATAAAAACTATTGTAACAATTTTTATTAAAGTTGGATTTCCAAAAAGTAACATTTATTATAACGTATTTATTACTTATGATTTATTATTCTTTTTACGCCATTTGATTTTTTTAATTTTAAGGAAATAGTCTTGAAGCGTCGGTTTTATTTCTGATAAAATCCAGGCGTTATTTAGTAGACATAGGCAAATGTAACAATTAAATAATCAAAATAAGTTGTGTAGTCAAAAATTGTATTTCATTATTGCACACTGTTTTAAAGTGCATCACATTAATCATATTGTTTTGAATAGGATAATTATGGATTTAGAAAAATCAGAAATGCCTTAGTGTCTTAACATTAATCACGCTGAATATGATTTTAAATCAATTATTTTACAGAAAGTATCTGTAATCAGGTTCTGTGAAGGTTTCATTTGTTTATATATTTGTATATTTTGGTAGTTTGTAAAGGTTCAATTATTTCAACAAATATATAACTGATCGGCATAGCATTATAGATTATCATATCTAGCTGTTACCCACGGGCTTCACCCCATTTGAATTCATAAGTATTAATTAAACTATTGATTGGTTAATTTAAGATGAAATAATCGAAACAGAATACAGTAGTACAAATACCTCATTTTAATAAGGTAATAAATTGAAAGAATAACAAACAAATAAGTACAGCTGAGGTATTTTAACATTAGGTATATGGAAAGTTCCCTTTAGAAAGGAATTACGACGTTAAAGGGCAATTTATGAAATAATGGTCTGTTTTGCGCAAGGTTTCTCGTCATGACGAACATTTTAAGTACATGGTTTATGGGGGTGTGACTTGTAGTTTTCTCAAAAGTTCATGGGTACTTTGGGATTTATATGGATGTTTTAGAGTATCATAATTATGCCTATAAAGTCTTAGGTAATGTTAATTGTCATTTATTATTTAAAAAATAGTACAAGTCATGGCTCTGTGTAGTTTATTTCGATTGTAAAAGCAATATAAAGGAAACTCACGTTTCATTTACAACTAATTTTGGCTTTTATTATTTAAGTTTCAGGGGAATTTCAATTTATTATGATGGAAATTTTAACCTGGCAATCCACAACACACTAATTTATTTTACAGTCGATGGTAAACCACTCGTTTATCTTCTCCTATACTTGCATAAACATTGTTTTGACATTCTGTTTGAATTAAAACAGCTGATTAAGTTGCAGGAGACAGCCAAGTTAAATAATCAGTATTTTATCGGATATATTTTAATCTCTATTGAGTAAATCTCAGTATAATCTTTGCTCAATAGTAACAACTGATGTTTTTGACTTTGTACTGTATTTAGTAATTTGTTAGTATACTGTGGATGGCTTGTTATAAACACATGTTACAAGTCTTGTTAACTTTTTCCTTGTTATTTTGTTCAACCAACATGACTACTTAGCAGCCCATAAGGTGTTAAATAATGTTGACTTGTATTTTTTTTTTTTTTTATTAGACTTTAAATTTTAACTGCAAACACGTTTCTAGGCCAGAAAATCTGTTTTACAACATTTTAAGGAAATCGTCGAAGCTGTTTTCGAGATCTTTGTGCAAGCAAGCATACAAACTTACATACATACATACATACAAGCAAACATTGCTCATATAAGAGAATAGGAATAGGAACACTTGAGCCTGCGTTCTTACAAATAATCTTTTCATAGACCAAACACTTGCAAGTTTTACCTCTGTGTCACTATGAATTAATGTGTCAAACAAAATGTTTCTTCTCAGATATAAAGATTAATTTGTTATAGTGTTTTTGTAAATTCTCGGATTTATCTCCACCTAAAATAGTCTATAACCAGGTATAGGGATTAATCACCTGTTTAGCTTTAATTTTAGTAGTACCGAGGTCACTGTCTAATCCCGAACAATAACTCAGGGGCAGCTCATCTAGACGTTGCTGGTTTAAGTCCTAAGAATAGCTGTCTTCTACTTTATTATATTTGTATTATTATTATTGTACTAGCTGGCCCGACAGATCTGTCCTAATAAGATTTTGTGTCAAATGCTCGTTCATTTTCAAGATGAGCTCGTTCGCATCGCTCAATCACGTCCTGGTTGAATTTCGTTCACTACGCTCACTCACCTTTTGGTTGTAAATTAACAAATATTTGTTTAACACATGTTATTGTATCACGCTAAAATGAAAACATTTTACTCCAATGTTAATGTAAAGGCAATTTTTTAGAATCTTGAAAATAAAATTAAAAATAACGGTTGGGTAGATTATAAATTCCCTTACATAAGAACCTTCCCCTGGCACTAAGGAACACAACAAAAAATGAATCATCCAATTTGGTGCACTCGTTCTCGAGTTATGGAATACTATTGAAACAAAATTCATTTTTAATTATATAGAATTTATTATTAATATTTGATTATTTTTTTACTATTTTATCACTGCAGCCTCTACTGGCACACTTGTGTGACGTATAATACAGTAAACGTTAATAATAGTAGGCCTGTAATATTACTGTCACACATTCCACTAGATCTACACAGATGGGCAGTTGGCGGGTAAAAAAATATGTATATATGAAACACCCAACTACTTTTTTCCTATAAGTTCTTGATCGGCGTCTTTAGAATCCGTAGTGGGTTTCTGTGTCCGTTTCAGCCCATCCACTGAGTATCTTCTCTAAGTAAGGGTTCTCGAAAACATCATTTTGTGGCGGTTGACGAAGAATTCTAATGTTGTGTAATGAGTTGTATTTTACTCCACTAACTCACATGTTTCCTACCAGGTCTTGCTCAGTTGCGCCGTGGCGCTGTGTCGGGCCCAGCAGTACGTTGACCCGAAGACAGCCGCCATCCTCAAGGAGGAACGCTACCTGAGTGTCGACGGCAAGTTCGGCGCCGCCTACCAACAGGAGGACGGCGTGCAGTTCAAGGAGGAGAGTGACGCCGACGGTACCCGGCGTGGTAGCTACAGCTACATCGACCCATCCGGTCAGAGGAGGACTATCTCCTACGTCGCCGGGAAGAACGGATTCGTCCCCACTGGTGATCATCTCCCAGCCGTGCCTGCTCCTGTGGTCAACCCGCTGCCCCAGTACAACCCTCCCCAGCAGAGTTACAACCCTCCCCAGCAGAGCTACAACCCTCCCCAGCAGAGCTACAACCCTGCCCCAGCTCCGGTCAGACCCCAGTACAGCACGCAGGAGGACGACGGCCAGTGGGTAGACGACACCAAGGTGGAGTATCCCCCCAACTCACCCTCCAACTGGAACAACCCTGCCCCTCAGACATGGAACACCCCAGCTCAGCCCTCTTGGAACGCTAACCCCGCTCCTCAAACTTGGTCCAACCCCGCTCCTCAGCAGTGGAGTGCTAACCCTACCCCTGCCCCAGTCTACAACCCCACCCCCGCACCCCAGAGGTGGTCTGCCCCCGTGGACCCCACCCCAGCCCCTCACAGGTTCTTCCCTCCTGGTAAACTGAGTCTCAACAGAGCGCCGGACGGATTTAGTTTCTCTTTTAGCAAAGCCTAACTTTGTTGTTAATAGTGATTTCACCCCTCGTGTAGATACTCCCCTCGAATAAGTATTGTGATATTTAAATTGTTTTTATAACGAAATTTTGATTTTTATTTCAACCCTTTTGGAAATTTTAATCCTATCAGCATTAAGTTTTCTACTGGTTTGCCATAAGACTGGAGAAGAAGTTGAGCATAGTAAAGCTAAGGTAATTTTGTGCTCAAGAAATAGAATAGTGAAACTTCAAAAATGAAGGGTTAGCACAAATTATGTTCCTGATTTAAATTTAAAGTCTTGTCAGTTTGTGCAAATAGAAGAAAACTCACAAACTATTGCTTGAGTTGGTTTAGTTATGAATCTGATCTTTGTTCAAACCAGTGATGTCAATGTCGTACCCTGGTTGAACTTGGGCATAGGAAGATTATTCGTGTGATTGTATAACTAAATTCAACAGGGGCCTTCCTAGCAATCTATCAATTTACAAGAGATGCTTAATTTTTTTTAAAGATTGCTACATTTGTAAAACGTAAGCAACTTCAAGGTCGTCATGGAGCAATTCTATAGACTGACGAGGAAAGACTTTACTCATGGTTTGCATAAAAGATGGTGGTAAGCAAAGAGTGATTACCACATCAGTTAGGAAAATGTTATTCATGCGGTCACAGATAGGATGAACAAAATACTTATTCCTCATTTTGTCTGTGGTACGGTATGTAAATGTAAGCTTGCAATTCAATAGAGTGTCTCATAGTAAGTCCATGTGTATTTTTAAAGGTGACTGAAAATAATGGATTGTCCAATATGTGTGCTAAGCTGCACATGCTTACCTAAGTTAGGAAGTAATTCATTTGTACCGACAGACCAATCTACTGATATATGTTCAAAACAAAACATACATTTGTCACGTCAGACAAATTAGATTGGCCTTGGCTACTATCAAAACATAACGCATATATTTCCCAGTTGATGTTACTTTGATAATTCACTACAGCTGGTTCCAAATCAACTGTTTGTATCAAATCCTAATGTGGATTTGATTTTGATCACTACATAAACATTAATAGGTATTTCCTAAATTAAGATTTTAGGAAACATAGCATTGTTTTCTCTCAAAGATGTAGAATCTAAATGTAATATTTCTTTGCTGGAAATGTGCTAAAGCACCTAAAACAAAGACGGAAGGTGATCAGTCTGAGAAGGGACCTTGGACTACGGAATGTCTGTCTGACCACGCCCTGCGGACCTTGGACACCAGGAACGACGGACCAAGGAACGAGTTGTGGTCACAAGGAACACGGGAGGATGGTCAAGACTTCCAGTTCTCGGAAGAGGAAATTTTTTATGATCTTAAATGTGTTCGACAGCAACTAGTTTTTTTTATTTAGTTCATGAACCATTGATTCTTCTTATGAACCTGTATGCTAACTTCATTTGATGGAAAATAAAATGCAAAATTATGTGAAATGTTTGAGAACTGCTAGCAGCTATATTAGTCTCATTATTTAATTTGTGGACCATTTTGCGACTCATGAGCCTGTAATTCCAATCAATTAGTTGTTGGAAAAAACATTTTTAACTACCTAAAATGATTTTAAAACAGCTACCTTGTTGTTGGTCTAGTATTTAAATGTGATTCGTGGATAAATTTATGTCTCATGGACAGTAAGTTAACTTAATTAGATGTTGGAAATGTTCATTTTGAAGAAATGTGGAATAAAGTTAATGGTCTCTTAGGTGAATTTGTTTTAATATTTCAGTTTTACATATTTAGGAAGTTTGAATATTTATTTATATATTCACTAGGACCAAAATGAAACTTTTGGGAGGCCGAAAAGAATATAAATAAAGAGCAAGGCTCAAAAAGCCTCTTAAGATCTTCGCAATATCCATTGGCAAGCTAAAAAAATAGCTTACTTCTTATAGGTAACTGGAATCGTTAATTTCTTTAGTCATAAATCTAATTAATTAGTTGAACTAGAACTATTAAGAATCTGCACAACTTTATGAACTAATTAGCACTTGTTAGTGTTTTTATGTGATGTTTTAATCATTGGGCAAATTCATGGACCTTCTATAAAATTGTTATCAGTATACAAATACATTATCATTGTCATGAATTTAATTACTTGAAACAGAAAACATGTGTTGATGCGAATATAAAACGCGCTAGAGCTAATTTGAAAATTATGACTGACATGGTGACATAAAAATATGAAGGAAAGAGACCGGACACAGCCTGAATGATAGTAGATCATTTTTATTGAAATGATAAAACACTGATATAGTTTAAGCTAATTGGCTGCACTTTAGTTTACGTCCTACACTCATTCGAATGAATATATCGATCGATATGTCGGTTATATCATTCGATATATCAAGTTTGAACGAAATAATCGATATATCGAATAATCTAAATATCAATATTTTTCATTCGAATGAGTGTAGGACGTAAACTAAAGTGCAGCCCTCCAGTTAGGTGTCACTGACTGTTTATTGTTGATAAATTTGGTTTATTAGTCCAGTCAAGGAATGAGGTGTAGAGTGCGTGAGCAGGTAACTAAGCAATTCCTTCAGAAACTTGTTCAGGGAGCTTAGGGTGTTAACATACCAAAAGTCCTGACTCCTAGGTGGTGAGCCAGGGGGTGTAGGGGGGAAAAAGGGGGGGGGAAAGGTACGCATTTTGGGTTTTTTGATTATATCTCGAAAACTATCAACTTTTTGTATACTATAGTAAATTATAAAATTGAAGATTAAATTTTCTACAAAAAAAGTATATAATGTGTTTATTTTGGTTCAACAGATTACGAGTTATAACTTATTTAATTGATATCTTATTAAAATACTCCTTCCATAAGAAATACATGTAAATTAGTATGCGAAATGGGGCGAATCCTATCCGCCCAAAGGAAATATAACTGATATTCTGGAAATCTTGACAAAATTTCCAGTAATTTGACACTTTAATCATTAAAATTGATCCAAAATTAAGGCGAGGGCGAGGTAACAAAATGTCGAGTTTTGGCGTTTTTTTATTGGAAATATAAAAAAACCTTAAATCATCCCATTTTTAAACGCTCACCCTGGCTTTAATTTTTGACAAAATTTCATGATTAAAGTGTCAAATTACTGGAAATTTTGTCAAGATTTCCAGAATATCAGTTATATTTCCTTTGGGCGGATAGGATTCGCCCCATTTCGCATACTAATTTACATGTATTTCTTATGGAAGGAGTATTTTAATAAGATATCAATTAAATAAGTTATAACTCGTAATCTGTTGAACCAAAATAAACACATTATGTACTTTTCTTGTAGAAAATTTAATCTTCTTCAATTTTATAATTTACTATAGTATACAAAAAGTTGATAGTTTTCGAGATATAATCAAAAAACCCAAAATGCGTACCTTTCCCCCCCCCCTTTTTCCCCCTCCACCCCCTGGCTCACCACCTAGGAGTCAGGACTTTTGGTATGTTAACACCCTAAGCCCCCTGAACAAGTTTCTGAAGGAATCGCTTAGTTACCTGCTCACGCACTCTACACCTACTTTTGGATCATTCATTGACTGGACTATATATTTACAATCGTGTCACTTGGTTCGTGGTTTTACAATTGACTTTCAATGCTACAAATTTTATGTCCAGTACAATTTCAGTATTTCTGATGTTGACTTGATGTCTCTCTCCTACTTTAGAGTTAACATCATTGTGCTAATTTTATTCTATGGTTATAACACCACAAGCTTCGTAAAATAAATCGAACACGTCAACCCACTGAAGTGATGCCAAACATATACAATCCAAGCTTTAGCTGATCCATGCAACAATTATAAATATTTATGTGATTACATTTAACTCTAGGGTTTTACTAAGGAGCGAGCTGGTGTAGTGGTAGAGCGTGGGACTTCTGTCTCCAAGGTTCCGGGGTTAGATCCCACCAATGACCAAAGGATTTAATCTAAGTGATAATGCCGCAACCTTGAGGGCTAGAAGTAATGTGCAAAACAATCCTAGCAATCATAGTACAAAAAGTTGTTTTACTTAGTAATTGTCCTTGTGATATTTTACCTCATCAAAGTCTCGCCCAGTTGCAACATACACACACTTACAAAATATGCATTGGCAATAACAATAAATATTAAGTACAATAACACATTATGTATGTTTTAGCTATTTAGATTAGTGATCTTTCTTTTTGGTCAATTAAACTATATCATAACATATTTGAGCGAAAAAAATATTACATTCTCTAATATGAGCTATGGCAGTTTGTTTGTGGGTGGGTTAGTAAAATATATCCCAAAAGTCCAGCGAAAGGATTTTGACTACATTTTGGCAAAAGCCACTTCAAGAAAACTTGGATTTAGCTACATAGCTCAATTGAAAATTAAAATTATAAACATTGGCCTTTTGGGTTGCCAAGTAGGTTTTACAAAATAACAAGAAAGAAATCAACAAAATACGTGTAACCAAAGATAAAAATAATTAAATATAGACTGTCAGCCTGCTGCGGTTGCCATGGTTACTATAGGTTTCTGGCGCACACCGCTGGGAGCGCCGTGTAGTTCTGTAGCGCGTACATCGTAACTACATGGTGCTCCCAGCATTGTGCGCCAGAACCTATGGTAACTGCAGCACTGCTGAGTCTAGGCCTATATTTAATTATTTTTGTCTATGGCATAAACATATGTTTATCGCAACGTATCCACAAAACACTTGAAAATTACGAATCACAGTAATGTATTTATTTGTTTCTTTTAAATATTTGTTATCTGTTGTTATCAATGAGCATGAAAAAACAACGGGTTTTAATGTTTTATCCTTCCACCATGGGTTTCGATGATTAGAGAGGGAAAATGTTATATTTTATCTCAATTTCGTTTTATTGCATATTTTTTACACCACAGATTGGTTTTATTTCAGCTATTTAATATTTATGGTTTGTGTAAAATTGATTTGTTGACTATAAAATGGGTGTAACTATTATACCCAATTAATCACAACCGGGCAAGGCTCGGTCCCCCCTGTGTTCAGTTTTTTAGTTAATCGTTTCTACTAGCCTGTACAAACTACTAAAGCTACTATCATCTTTGTTAATTATTCTTTTAGTTAATCTTTTCTACTAGCCTGTACAACAACAGCTGTTCTCTGTTAATAATTCTTTATGTTAATCTTTTCTACTGGCCTGTACAACAACAGATGATCTTTGTTAATAATTCCAGTTAATCTTTTATACTAGCCTGTACAGCAACAGCTGATCTTTGTTAATAATTCTAGTTAGTCTTTTCTCCTAGTCTGTACAAAAACAGCTGATCTTTGTTAAGTCAATGGTTTCACTTAGAACCTTCCTACGAGGGAAAACTTCAAGATGCATATTTTATTGACCTTCGCGTTCAATCCTTCACATTACACGTATTCTTTTTTTTCTCTTTCTTCATCCATCCCTCGGGCTGATGTTATCACGTCATCGTATTTTACCTTGACTACCCAATGGCTAATTGAGATTTATCTTTCCCAGTGGGTGCTAAGTGAGTTCCGGGACATGGTTTTTATTGTTATGCGAAATTAATTTTCTTTTGAAAACGCAATTAAAGTTCTGGCTATTATATGACTTAAGTCTTTGCCAGGCAATGATCGAAAACATTTCAGAGTGAGTAATCCCAATGTATAATGGTCACAACACTACAAATACAGACACTTATAATAACGAATTACTGATTCTTTCAGGGGTAGTTTCGAGACTAAATACTGACCATAAAGTGAATCTATAGTCAATGAGAAATTAATATGGCTGCCATATAAGCATAAACTCTCATTTATTAAACCAACCACATAAATTAAAATTATTGATTTTAAAATTGTTTTTACAATATCAACTATGGAACGTCTAGTTAGTAACCATACTCATATTAAGTTTGATTGCGACTAAACATATTCTGTTTAAAAGAGCCAGAACAACTACAAAGAAGGGTTACGCGATTAAACACAACATTTCAGTACAAAAGTTTATTACATTATCACAGTTTAACCTTAATATTTACAACTCACTGGATAACTAGGGTCACAGGAAAGTTGAATTTACATTTTACAAGTTTCATCTCTTGAACCGATCTGATGAACCTATAGGACACCGGTTGGGAATAATGCAGGTCTGAAGAAGTGTGGGGCAGAGTAGACATAGGGGTTGTATTGGTACAGGAGAGGGTATGGGAATGGTGCTACTGATACTGGCGGGGATGCTGCGACTACTTCCGGCAGTGGGGCGGGAGCAGCGGGGGTCTCTGGGGCGGGGGCCTCCTCAGAAGGTTCAGAAGCCTCATCTGTTGCTTCCGTAGGCTCCTCGTTCTCAGGCGTCTCGTAGGGCTTCTCGTAGAGGTCGGGGTTGTACTGGCCGTTGTCGCTCTCTTCGTCAGCGGCGAGCGCCACCGTCGTCGCCAACAGAAGACACAAGAGAGTCTGTTACAGAGGGTAGTTGATACAGAACATTATTTTATTTGTTGCTGTGAGGAAAAAACTTAAAACTTTCTTATAGTTATACCTCTATTACCATAGCCAAAAAGAATGAAATATAGACCGTCAGCCGTGCTGCGATTAGCTTAGGTTCTGGCATCCACCGCTGGGAGCACCATGTAGTTACGTTTACGCTCCCAGCGGTGGATGCCAGAACCCACGAATCCAGATCCTATGCTAACCGCAGCACGGCTGACGGTCTATATTTAATTCTTTTCGTCTATGGTAATAGAGGTAAACTACAAGAAAGTTCGTAAGTTCGCCTGAATAAAAAAGCATTTTTATTCCATTTCAAGCACGGGTACTGCAGCTAGTGAAAAATAAACTCGTCTTATCAGGTAGTTCAATTTACCCTACTTAAGCCCCGTTTTTATTAAACATTTTACGCTCAAAACATTGTTGTGAGCTAAACTCACCACAATGTTGAAGTAAAATGTTAAACGGAAACGCAAGCAAAATGTTTTGAGCATGTTGGCAAACAAAAAGTGTTGGCAGCCGTTGCAGCTCACAACATTTTTGTGAGCGTTGTAAGCTGTGCTTAACAAATATTAAAGCGTTTAACAAATAGACGTGTAAATTGACTTTTTAATTATTTTAAAGCAAAAATGGCCTGTGTATACTATTGTATACTATCTTTAATTGCAAATAAAACTCCGATTGAGCTGTTATTAAACATAAATTGAAAATCAATATTTAAAACAAAGTTTAACAATACTACTAGAGTTCTGATTCGAATCTATTGCGCGCAGTATTTCAATAATGCAATTCCCCTTCAAATCCATATTGGCATCTTGTGTTACAGCTATGTTTGGCAACAGCTTGTGCCAAATAAAAGGCGATGCACTTTACTGGTTAGGTTTATATTACTTTATTAAAGTTTGACGGGTTACTATATTCCTGCGTATGACGGGTTCTTCCTAATAATTTGTAATTTTTAAATCTAATTTTATATCTGTACCTTTTCTCATTATAACACGATCCTTATACCTCAAATTATGGCATATTATTGTTTACACATAAGATTAATTCTAATAAATATTGAGTAAAAGCAGTAAGAATTATTACCCTTGCTGACTATGGATAAAATTAGAAGTTACATTACCACATAAGTTGTCGCCAGTTTTGAAATGAAACATGGTTTAATTAAGCCACCGATTGGTAGCGCTGATGCCCTGGTGCCGTTTACCGATTTCTCATGAATACGACACATTTTTAAACGAGACAATTTAAAAGAAAACTAGTGGCTTATAGTGGACATAAATCCCTAAAATTTTCAGATGTACAAGAAATTATTCTTATATTAAAACAAACTAAGAATGAGTTTTTTAATGTGTCAGGATAGTTTTGTTCTTAATTTTCAATAAATAATTGCATTCCTTCCAGAGTTTTAAATGTACTAAAGACAAAAAAATGTAATTGTTTGTGAGTAAGTACTGTTTACTGTTCAAATACTGTTAAAAAACTAATCATCGATTGATTTATAAGTACTTTGACACTGGTTAGGGTCAGTTTCCCAGTTGCCGAAGCGAATCCCCAAATTCCTTTTCATCGGCATTGACACGCTTATTTTAGTTAGTTTAAGAAACGTAAAGAAACGGAAACTTCCTCCAGATTTGACTGTCGTGTATATATGCTCCCTTTACTATACATACAGGATGGCTGGTAATAAGTGTAAAATAAATTCATCCATCAAACTACATCATAATAGTGATTGAATGACGCCTATTTGAGGTTCCCAACTCAAACGGTAAAGAAATAAAAGATTAATTAATTTTTTATGGTTTGTTTTATGAAAATCGTTTATACTATGTTAGAAAGACAAGTATTGTTAAAATAAAGATTATTTTTTAAATCCTCACAAAATTTACAATAAGAATAATACAACGTTGGGGTATTGAACGAGACTCTCGTAAAAGTTAAAAAGATCATTTGTAAAAAGAGTTAAAAAGATAGTATATACATTGACTATGCAGCTCTTCAGAGTGGTAATAGGAGAGAGGTAATTCAGGAAGGTGCTATAGGACTATCCCCTTTTATGTTACAACAAACATTTTTTACACTTTATATACTTACCTTTCCGTAAAACTCTCCCTTTAGTAGATTTCCCATCCTTATGGAACAGCTGAAGCCAATTTTATTGTTAGTTCTGTCCGATTTTCTGTAGATGTCGTGTTTTGTTTACAATTTGTTTCTATTATTTTAGAGTTAGTTTCTCATTATTTGTGTCTCACTGTTTGGTTATTTAGCTAGTGGACGAGCTATTGTTTATGATTAGATAGTTTTATTTGGTTAAACGAGGTTTTAAATTACCGTACTGAAATAACAAGAAACAAATTGCAAGCAAAACACGACATCTACAGAACACCGGACAGAACCAACAATAAAATTGGTTTCAGCTGTTCCATAAGGATGGGGGGGAAAGCTACTAAGGGACTATGTTTTATCTAAGGGACTATGTTTTATCCAAGGGACTATGTTTTATCTAAGGGACTATGTTTTATCTAAGGGACTATGTTTTATATAAGGGACTATGTTTTATCTAAGGGACTATGTTTTATCCAAGGGACTATGTTTTATCTAAGGGAATATGTTTTATCTAAGGGACTATGTTTTATCTAAGGGACTATGTTTTATCCAAGGGACTATGTTTTATCTAAGGGAATATGTTTTATCTAAGGGACTATGTTTTATTACTCTATTGTCTATGGGTTTATCTATGGTGGCACATTCAATAATGTTCTAATAGAATAAACCCCCTAGCTACAACTCATAGATATCATGTCTACTGTAGTATCCTAGAGATACGCAGAACGCTTACCTTGAACAGGAGCACGGACGAGGCCATGATGCGCAGTGGAGATGGAGGTAAAGGAGTAGCTGTTATGTGGTATCTCCGTATATATACCACCAGTCAATGTCAACCGGTCGGCCATTGACCACAGAACATCCACCCCAGCTCAGGGGTATCGGATTCATCGATTTATTCCTTTTTAGATTTTTTTTTGGCAAGCAGACTGAAAGAAAACGTCTGTCGTTTTTAGATGGTGCTATAGGCCTACGACATGAGTAAAATTGAATTCTCAAATGAGTAGAATCAGGTTGATCATAAAAGCTATGTACAGCCGACTTCTCATCCCATTGTAACTTTTGAAGCTCGTGTTTCGTGTCTAGTTCATGTTCAGTGACACTGGTCGTTCGAGTCGACGACAATTTGTTTCTATTATTTTAGAGTTATTTTCATGATTTGTGCTTTACTGTTTGGTTATACAAATAGGTGATGGGTTTTTGATTTTGCTTAGATCGTTTTGGTTAATGAGGGTTTAATAAAAATAATATAAACTAAAAATGAAAATGATTTAAACTTTAAAGGCCCTTGTACAGACTTGTTATGCATCGATACTGAATAGTTGCGATTGTATTTGAAATCGGGTGCCAAGGTGCGTATTTTAACCCAAATAAGGGTGAAGGGTGAGTTTAGAATGTTGTAAGATGATCTTTGTACCTACTGTAGCTTTGTAACTGACTATCATCAGCTGGTTCATCAGTTAAGGTCATTTATTATAAAAAAATGTCCTGTCACCCGACAAAGTGGGCTTCCTTGCACAGATAGTACAGAAAGCCTTACACTGGCGCACAGTTTTTACTTTGGCGCAAACCAGTATTCCTGACAACACAAAACAGCGTGCTTTTAAGCACGTTAATCCGTGTACCTACGCTTGAAAATAAGCTGGCAACACTGAAAGATATTACGACTACGATCAGCTGGTGCAGCGTTTCCCATTTCGTTCAATGTTTGGATTTGATTTAACCTAACTTAAAAACGTGTTGTGTTGTACAGTGTTAGAAAGACTAATTATTATTTACATGATTTAGAGTTATAGTAACTGAAGGAAAAATTAAATGTGTAACACGAGTGCAGACTGCCCACTAGTTACACAAATAATTATTCTCAAAGCTTAATGTAGACCTGATCAGGTAACTTATTGTTACATCGTTGGAGACGCCCCGAGACAAGGTTATGTCTGCGGCGTCATCGCTAGGTTATGTCATGCTAATGTATTCAATATTATTTAGATCACAGGCTCCGGCCTTGGTCATGCGACAAGTAAAATAAAACAACGCGATTACTTGGTGTTTCCCTACAAGGGGCCGTGGATGGCCAGAGTGGGTTATCTGTAGTGTCAAGCCTCGTTAGTTTAGCAATGTATTTGTGAAATTTAAATGAAATTGGTTCAGTATTTTTTGCGTTTCTCGTACAAACAGATATTAGACAACGCCTCTTCTTTTTAGATAAATAGATGTAAAATTACAAAGACAACAAATATATGAGTTCAATGTAGGTAGGATGAGCATATTTGCCCTTTTCAACAAAATATTACAAAGTCATTAGTCAATAGGAAAATACTCCGTTAAGAAAGGCGTAGTCATCGATATCGATGAGCGTAGCCTACACTATCTCAGAAAACTAAAAAATACTCCCATCACAGCAAACCTGCAGAATTGGCGGATTCCCATCAGAATATTTCCTTAAACGTGTCAGATTTTTCCTAAATTTAATAACATCAGGTTTAACGAGTAGGCCCTACAGTAGCTTATATCCATCAAATACTACAGTAAATTGGATTTCTTAAAGGAATTTGGCTATTTAAAATATTTTAGTTTTTTAAGTTTATTTTAGTATTTTAAATAACCAAATTCTTTCAAGAACCCCCATTTTTGACAAAATGCAACAATTAGATAATCAGTCGTCAACAAATTTCCAAATGATAAACTGTAAAGCCAAATTACACTTACAAAAAACCAATAATATCAACAAAAAATAATTATTTATAATGAATTTTTAAATGGACAGGATTTTTTTAGGTTCGGAAACATGTATAACTTCAAGGCAATATCAATTTGTGATTTTAGTTTATTTCTGACAAGTTTAACGCTGATTGTATTTGGTTAATTTGGTAAAGTTAACCTTAAGACATAAAAACGAAAAAGTAAATCGGCCCTGGGTCTAAATGTCCATGAGACCTCTACTGTATAGTCTGTGCCTGGGGTAGGCATCTTATCTTATTATCCATGGGATAAATTAGCCTAAAAAATATTTATAAAATTAAATCATAAGACCACCCTTGTCCAATATGTATGTAGGCTATCAATTTTAATTAAAATTTAATCTCAATTTAAAATGTTGATTTCAAAACTAAAGCAAAAGAATGGCAGACCCATTCTAGGGTGCCTCTCAATGGGAGTGACCGAATTTTCTACAAAGCCGTGAATTTGAGAATTGCGCGGTTCGAGAAGCTGCGGAATCAACTCGATCGAGCGTCATGGCATCGAGAGTCAATTCGAGCTGCTAGAACGCTCTTTAACACTACTTTAAGCAGATCCGCGAATTTAGCGATCAATGCTTCGTGTGCCGTTAGAGCACTCACTCCCGTCGGTGAGAGGAAAAGTCACGGTATATATTCGAACTACAAGAGTCTGTTTCCATGCGTCTGGGAACAAGTTTGAAATACGTTTTAAAACAACCAAACCCTTTTCAATCTCCTAAAATCAGATATATTATGATTCGATATTATAAAGGGAAGCTCGCTACGAAAAAACCATCAACAATACTTAATACGATAATTTATTATGCAAGATTAAACATTCTTAGTTCGCGGCTATTATTAGCCTGTAGCGACGCTGCGGTACCTAGCGGCGAGCGGAAGAACTACCAGGATGCGTGTTGAACGAAGGACGTCGCAGCGAACGTGCGGCGTGCGCGTAATGGCTACCGGTACAGGATTTGTTGGTTGACTGGCATATTGATTGAATATTTTTATACGTGAAGGATGCCTTCCTGAAAGTTATTAATTGTGAACATTTTACTGCGGATTTGTATTGCTTTAGAGTTTTACTCGAAAACTACTAAGGAGGACTATTAGTTGAAAACCCTTACCTTACTTTAATACTTTCTTACCTATTAAATGGCGACCATACAAAGTAGGTATTTTAAAGCCAATAATCTATAGCTATTTGAATAAAATGTCTAAACAGTTACTCATCTTGTTTAATATTACTGGTTCCAGTGAAAGTTAATAATAAAAAAATCAGCAAGTTTGGTTGGTTTTGGGTTAGTTTGGAATAGTTTCATTTTATAATTGACTAGCTGCTGTAACCGTGCTTCGCAACGGGAAAATTTACTACTACGAACACTTGTTAAGTACAGTAGTTCAAATTTATAAACAAATACACCCTCACCGCAGCAAACCTGCCTACAAAGTGAATTTCCATTCGTCTGAATTGATTTCCCATCACATCTATTTAAATAACATTAGGTTTAACGAGTACCAAGGTTTGCTGCGACAAGGAAACTAATAAAGTGTGTTTTTTAGTAAAATAGTATTAAATAAATAAATTTGCCATGTTTGATCAAAATATCCATAAACAAACAAACTAACATTTTAAAATATTCTTCATAAGAATAACATGGGCATTTTTAAATTTACAATGTTTTGAATTTTCTCTGTTACCGTGTATATTGTACAAAAACACTTTGATATACTAAATTATTAGTTTTTTAAGCTTTTTAAAAAGGTTTTAGGAGAAATTGGGAAATTTTGTGTTTTAAGGGTCAAAAATGAGAAAACCCAATTTTTACCCTATAAAACCCTGGTTCCATGCTGGTTTTTGGCAACTCCGATCATGTTGGTTTGCGAACTCATTCAATTTTATCCTGCCTTATACCTTAAAACCAAATTTCATCAAAATCGGACAAAAATTACTCAAGTTACCGCTTTCACGTAACTATTTGATTAATAAAACTTGGAACGAAACATAAATGAACGAATGGTGTTTTTGGCCTCTGGGGACATCAAAATTAAAAAGTAAATCGGTCCCGGGTCTAGGTCTTACCAATAGCTACTTCCCTATAGGGAAATTAGCAAAAAAACACCGAATTTATACAAGAAGTAATTGTTATAACCTTCATTGTAATTGTCCTATTGTTGACATGAAAATATGCCAATAGCATTATTTAACTTAGCAACTTTTGGTAAATTGAAAGCAGAGCCTGGGTTGATAAAGCAATGGTTTTAGAATCTAATAATAAATAAAATGAAAAAATAATCTATGACAGAGTTTTAGAATAAATATACTTAAACCTACCACATATTATATGTAAAATATTATATTTAATTTGTATGGATCTGCTGTCTGAAATTGTAAAATATAAGCATTTGGCAATTCTGATTGTTTACGTTGAAATGTCAACACAAAGGTAAACATTGTGAATTTTATCATGCTTCCATAATTATATTTGGCCATCGATCTCTAGAGATCGGTGTATTTGGCATTATCTTGATCCAGAGGCTAACCCATCATGAAAAACAAAAATTGTTAGTTTGTAAACTATCGGATCTTATCAATATTTTCATTCGGTTGTTTTTGACAACAGTTAACCGAAGTCTACCCATCTTGTAAAATAAAGCAGTGTTCTTGTCTTATTCATCTATTATTTATATGGAAACTGCATTAATTTAGTGGTAAAGATACTGGGACCATCATTCATATACATTCAGTATTACATTGGATGATTTGAATCTAGACTAGAACAGTCTATAGCAGTGCTGCTCAACCTTTTAGCGAATTTCCCATATAGGGAATAAGCTATTACCGTAGTACTCATGGTAAGACCTAGACCCGGGACAGATTTAATTTTTCGTTTTGAGGTCCCTAGAGGCCAAAAACACCATCCGTTCAAATTCATATATAAATATATATATGTCCGTTAGCGCGATAACTCGAGCAAAAATGATCCGATTTTGATGAAATCTGGTAAAAACGTGTAAACCTACGTTTATTAAAACGAGTTCGGGAACCAGCATAATCGGACCATGGGAACGAGGGTTTATGGGGGGT